CAGGCAACGTTAAGGTTTCCCCTCATCCAATAAATGAAGGACGGGTCCACATTCACCTATTTTTTATAGGGAGCTCGTCTTCCTTGATTGCGTTCGGACACTCCTATTGGTCGCTCTATGGTCTAGGCTTCTTTTAGCGGGATCTAATTAGCCCGCTATTGAATCGCACGTCTCCCAACGTCATCGAACTTCTTTCGCAGTTCCATCGGATGAGGAATCCATGAACTAACTAGGCCGTTTTCTGAGGAATACCTGTAAATGGGGAATTAGTTCAGTATACGGGGTCCATTTTGTAAAACCCCGTAGAGATACTGGGTCTCTGCGGCTGTTAAATGCAGTCCTGCAGACAGGGCGCGATTTACGTGAGATCCCCGAAGACAGTCGTGCTTGATTGCTGGAGTGGGGGGGGTCATGTCTGCCTTTGTGAAAAGGGATTTTGGTATATGATTTTATGGATTTCAGCTGTATCCCACCCCTTACCCCCTTCCCTCAGACCGACGACAGTTATTTTTGGATAAACTGGAGAATTTTCGGAAAGGGGTTGGAACCCTTATGGAAGGAAGTTCGGAGAGTTCAGAGAGATGGTATGTTGGATGGAGAGAGAGAGGAAGGGGGGAGGTCGGACCAGAGGAGGAAGTTTGGGGGGGTGGTCATATTTTGCAATTTTTCCCCACGACAGGACATTCCCTGCCTCCGAAGTTCACGTTCAAGCCGAACACACTAGTGTTTGTTTTCACTTTTACGTCACCGCTTCGACCTTTTCCCTTCTGAATTGCATATAGAGCCGAAAAGTGAAAAACGTTTGTGAGCAGGGGATAGGACCCCTGAGGGCCCCTAACTCCAGATCCGATTTCTCCCATCTATTGAGTATAACCCCAGTGGCAGATCTGGGCTGGGCAGGTCTAGACAGGTTCACCTATCTCCGAAATGTGGTCGAATGCCGCGATCACCTTACCACTAGCGTGTCATGACAGGTCATTCCTTCACGCTTTCCAAGTGGGACTACTCGTCCGGATTACCAGAACGCTGATTTTCTCAACTGCCTAATCACACTAAGACTTAACCCTGATAACGCTACCTGTCCGCATAACCTTTTGATAGCAAAATTTGAATTAACTGTGGGTTCTCCGTACCACCGCAGGGTGCCTATAAAAAGGCACCCTGCGGCGGTACGGAGAACTTGCTTGGCTGATTCGGAGCTGTTTTTGACCCCTAAGACATGAGACACAGAGCTTTTGATTTGGGTTCAAATAAGCTATCAAGATGTGAGTCTAAGAGAGACCAACCGAACCGAAAAGCCGAAATCGGGGCATATTGGTGCATTTCTCACAGACCCTTTTTATAGCGCACCGCGTTGATACAGGGAAACCAACAGTCCAATCAAATAATGTTATCAATAGGCCAAAGTGTCCCGCGAAGCGATCCCCTCCTTCTCAACCTGAGTGCTTCTTACGGATCAATCAGAAGAGCAGGTAGTGCAATATTCCGGACGAGTTTTCCTACCAGCAGTACGCTTCGCGGAACATGTCAGGACATGTCAGTGACAACGTGATCGCGCTGCACGACACAGGGCACATCATTAGATGGGGAATTTTTGTCGACTCCATGCGACCCCCTCCCTTTTCTAGGGGTTAGTACGACCCTCCCCCTGGTTCCCTTCTTATCAAGCTGTGGAACGTAGGGGTACCGTGAAAATACGATCCCTCTCTCTACCATTTCTCAGATCTTTCCCAAATTCCTACCACTTTATCCCGAATTTCACGGAAGTTTTCCCACCTTTACCCTAAAATTTTGCTGTCGAGCAAGGGAGGGGGGGGGAATGTAGTACACATGAAACAGGAAAAAACCACGAAACTCAGCAATCTTGCTCAGACGTTCGGAAGGGAAATACGACCCCCCCCCTCACCCTGTCCCCAAAACAAGAAAAACCAACTATCTAAGTAGACGCCATTGGTGAACTCGGAGGGAGGTGAACTCACCGAAACGTCAGCCACTAATAAAGATCGTTGATAACCTCGTGTACAGTTCAAGAAGAAACAACCAACTATCTAAGGAATTTTTTCTGCCCAAATACGACTACCCCCGTTGGGGACACCCAACAACGATGTGCCCTGGTACGACACGATCCACGAAGTATTCACGGACTTCACAGGACTCCATAAAATGGACCAGCGCCGCAATAGCTTCTAATAATTCCCTGAAGTTCAAGTTGTGTAATCTCGATTGGTATTTCGCTGAAGCTAGATCTGTTGTTGGGAACCATGCCGCACCAGATGACAAACATTTTTGAAGATTTCGTGTCTATCTCGACTTTTGTGCATTGTCCTGTCGCGAAACGCAACAAGTCCGTTGACCCACTACTGAGATGCTGCTGCGGACGAGTTCTCTTGCGTGTCACATTGGCAATTTGGCGGCAATTTGAAATCCGAGCCGTCCTCTCACAAACAACGCTGTTTTTCTTCAGTTCACCATCGTCTCTTCCTTTGTGAAATGGTAAGTCTTTGTTTATTTATGACTGAACGAGTGCATTTATTGTGCTTATCATTGTGAACTTTGGTTTATTGGTTTATGGGTCAGATCGCGTCTAAAAAATCTCACCAAACAAGAATAGAAACTGTACCTGATTCTAAAAATGAGAAGGAAACGGGGAGGCGTTGATAAGGAAGCATTTACAATTATGGAGAGATAGAGCAACTGCAATACAATCAACTAAAAATTAAGTCAATTGCCAGAAGGAATTAAAGTGACCTCTGTAACATCGTCCCTTTCCCATTATTTTTTATACTTCCTGCTTAATTACTTTTTGATTTAAGGATATAAGAAGTTTCTTTGGTGGAAAGAAGAGTGCCGGCCAGGAAGGCTCAACCGGAACAAGTGCGTTATCAACTGTTCGGAAAGCTGCACCCACAACGCCAACTACTCAGCCTAAAAAGAGATCCGACAAGTTGGTTCCAAACAAATCTGAGCAGAAAGCAAAGAAGTCGAAGAAAGCTGCAGTTGTGGATTCAAGCGAGAGCGATGATTGTAGGTGTTTTGAGAAACTGTATTTGCTACATTTCCGTTTTAGTGGTTGCTCCAAACGCCTGCTGTGGGCGTATTTGTAGAGCCTAGCTCGCTGCGGATGATGGGACGTGTCTATGAGGTTGGTTTTGGCGCACGCCAGCCCATTTCCCACCAGTTGGAAGAGCGAATAAGCGACCACAAAAGATGGAAAAAGACTGATGTCAACGATGTCATAGTCTTGTCCCTTGTCGAAAAAAAAAGAAAAGTGCTGCCGCCGCGCCAAACCCATGCCCCCCCCCCGGCAAGCCCCATCATCCGTTGCAAAGAAGGCGTGTATTTCTTAAGGCGTTTGGATTGTTCAGCTACGCCGTTGTGGGGTAGATCGTGTGTTGTTGACTCACATATACATACGTTGATTATCTTAATACGGTATGGGCGTACTTCATTTGAACCTGGCATAGGACGCGATTCTCAAGGGATTTTTTCATTCGAGATAATTATCGCAATTCCTGACAGATTGCAATTGTCTCAAAACGGCAATATACCACCAGAAGCGCAGTCTGCTCTACAAGTGAAGCACGCAGCAATGCCCTTTCCATCTACTAGATATGCATGTAACTCGTCACTGACGCGTTGTGAGTCGTCATGGACAATGTAGATCTGTTGGAGAGGGGTACTTTGGGTCAGCTGGGTTTTGGACGCTAAGAAAGTATAGATTCTGATCAGCGTTTTGAGCGAACGCCAGTTCACACAGTATAGGCTGGGGTACGCTCAAGACGCTTGATCGGTACTATACTTTCTAGTCGCTCCTAACGCTATCGAAAGTATGAACGCACTCTTATTACCGTGGTATGTTACACGTCATGAGCTAACTCCGAAGAGCTGGCAGACTCGTGCTACACCTACGCCTTTCTTTGTTGTGTAGTTGTCAGTGTTCATTCTAGCCGATGGCGAGTCGCCAATACCATCGTCGTTGCGCAAAGAAGCCATAAAGCAGAAGCGTTCACGAACACTTGTAATCTCAGGTGCGTAAGTTATTCCACTGCCATTAATGAGTTCTTGATATTTGAAAAGGTTTTCAGATTCTGACGAAGAAGTACTGCCTAAGAAAGCTTCAAAGCCTCAAGTGAAGTCTGTAACTCCATCTCCGGTGAAATCCCCTCCGAAGGTGAAGAGATCGCGACTCGTGGTGAGCGATAGTGACGGAAGCAATTCACCGTCTCCCAAGAAGCAAAGATCAAAGGAAAAGCCCCGAGCACCAGCGCCTGAATCTGGCGATGAGGAGGCAAGTTCTTCGGCGAATTTCAATATGTTCACACCAGTAATGTTTGTGATAATCTGTTCAATTCTTGCCTTGCTAGATGAGCTGCTCTAACTTTCAAGTGAGAATTTCGTAGCTGCCCCCAAACTCACACGAGTCACGAATTGTATAAAATGTGAATGGACACAAGGTGAAGGGTAGAGATGGCGCAATTCTTTTCTCCCTTTAATCTGCCCTTCTGTTTCTTGTCCAGCTGGACTATAACTGCTAATTTTTTCCACTGGACGTATGAGGGTGAGGTCGTTTTGACTATCTTGTCGTATTAGTTGTGGAACCAGGGCACATAATCGTGATAAGTGTAATGACATGCGGCCCCTCCCACCCCCTCCTCCCTCCCCACAAATTTCCTCAGCGATCCCCCTTCCTGTCCTACCTACCATATTCCTATGTTCTCCCATTTCCTACAGTTTTCCGAAAAATTCCCGTTCCCCGACGAAAGACCGTCGCAGGGGAAAGGGTTAGGAGAGGAGGGGCAGGTCGTGACCGACAGCCGCTAATTCCAACTATCGGAAGTAGTAGTTGCGTGGTAGTTCAGCGACGCCAGCTTTTAAGGGGAGGGGGGAGGTATAGAGTACATAACGGACGAGAAAAGCCAACAGTAGCCGAAACGGGAACGACGTTACCTTGACGTTTCCGAAATATTTATTCTTTTTTCCTGAGCGGCCAAGTGCTTCTTCTCCCTAATGGAGTTTTCCCAACGATGATATACCCACTAAGGGTCCTTGTTTTCACCGTTTGGCCCAGCAGACGTTGGCAAAGAATCTTTGTTTGCTGACTCAACGAAAACTCCGCCATGTCCAATAAGGTGCGATATTCCTGGTAGACCGTATGCGGGAGCGCCAGATTTCACACCTCCACGCCCCGGCTAGGGTGCTTTATGGCTGCGAATAAAAAGGTCAACCTGGTCGTGAGGGTTGGTCTGCGGCTCTGGCGAAGGCTTCATGAACCTTTCCGTTGGAGTGGAATGAACATGCTGTCCTTCAAGAGACAATTCTAATGCTCAGAAGGTTTTTCTATTACATGAAAAGCTATAGCTTCTCTCGTTTCAGGACCTTACAGAAACTGACAGTGAAGATGAGTTCATGGAAAAGAAGAAACCGAAGAAGGGCACCTTCTCCATACAGAAGAAGCTGGGTTTCGAAAAGAGCTCAAAGAAACCTACTCCAACAAAAGGTGAGCTGTGAAGCTCGCACTAGTTCTTTTAACTCCTGATCTCTTTCTGCATTGCTCAGGAATTACCACCGCGAATGTTCTCATGTTGTACAGTTTAATGTGGTTATCTGTAATATGTGTTGAGTGTATAAAAGGTCTCCGCGTTTTTTCGTACATATTTGAAAGAATATTTTGGCACTATTTCCCTTTTACTGCAGCAGTAATCCAGAGCAATGAAGGGTAAGAAATCAGGCCCGTTTCTGACCTGCTTTCTTCACCGAATGCAGACTTGGCTAAGAAGCCGTTCTGAGGGATATTTGACCTGAACACGGACATCACATGCGCTCGGACCGGAAACTTCCGCCAAAATACCGTTATTCACCGAATTCGCTGGATCTTCACCCAAGATTCAGTTTGACCTCCCAAACACGATATCATCTCCGTTTGCCCGAAACCTCACACCCGCGTCAGAGGTGCCGGCGCCAAACTACCCTAAACCATCGATTCCGCTGAAACGTTGATCCCAGGTATAGTTTGTCCTCCTGAACGCGGATATCACGTTCGCGTTGCTCGAAAGTCCGTTCCCTCAGCAGGGGAAGGGATAACTTCCACGAGAGAAGGGTGCAGGCGCGCAGAAGAAGGCTACGCTATCAGTGTTCTTATTTTGGTCAGTCCCGGGATCAGGTTTTCAGCGACTTGGTGATCTAGGATATTTTGGCGCGCGTGCCAGAAGTTTCCGGGCCCAGCCGATGTGATATTGGTGCTCAAGAGGTCAAACTACTAACAACATTTAGGCCAGTCTGGCTTCGAAGAGAAAATTGTCTCAAAAACTGGCCTGATTTCTGATGATTGGGGCAATAAGGAACATATAGTCCAAACATTTTATTAAAAAATCAAGTACATACTGACCATTAGTGTCTGTAACCTTTTGCCATTTATCTGGTCTCAATTCCATTGATGTAGGACTCCTGTGGTTTATCTGCAAAAAATTTGGCTAAGTGATATTCAGCGCGCTTCGATCGGGAAACTTCATACCATCAAGGGATTTTTTGAGATATAGAAGCAGATTATAATCAGACGGTACAGGGTCCAGGCTGTAGGGTGGATGCATGCTCCGGCATCAAAGATATGTGGGGCGCGCATTATCGTGAAAACAACACTCTTTTGGTATCTGGCAGACCACTCCTGGTCTTTCGTTACTAATAGCATTTTCGCCATACACTTCACAGGTTTTTTTGGCTTGTTTCTGCAGCGGTTTTGCCCATTTTTTAGAGCAAAAAAATCCATCACATGTCGTATTTCTTCAGATATTTCACTCATTTCCTTGAGCGTATGTTTGTTCGAGACGATTTCGAGAAAGGTAACGAGCTGCGGCGAGAAAACTGCGGAGACTTCTTATAGGACCCAATATTTTTGAGTAGCCTTATTATTGATCAGCAGTTTTTAATCCTCAGATAAGAAATCAGACGAGAAATTGGAACGGGTCAGCGCCACAGAGCTCCTCGCAACTAGCAGAGCTGATGAAAAGGCCGCACATACTCCAAAGAAAAAAGTGAGCTTCATTTTTGTAGAGTTTCTTCTCATTTCAGGCAGGGCACGTTTCGGCGTTGGGAACTATTTTTTGCCAAACAGATCCCTTAGAATTCTCCTCAAGTGCGACTTCTCTCGGAACTCACATCCTACATTACCAAAACTTTCCAAAACTCCCCACTAAGCCAGACTATCAACTTGATGAACTATTGGGGAAAATGGTTTTGCCGCGCATCCACCGAGGGGAAAAGGCAGGGAGGTTTTACCACGTGTGGGGTTGGAACAACCAACTATCGAAACCAGTGGAACTTTCTCGCAGACAACATACTACCCTCCTCCAGCGTTGGTGATTCCCCAACGTACGACGTGTCCTGTTGTCAAATAAACTCCCCTCCCTACGATGATTTCACATTGTAGGCTGTACAATCAAGAAGCCCTGAAGTGAGTCCATCACAGAAAGAAAATGCAATTGCGAAAAAGAGTGAAAAGGCTAAGAAGAAGGTCGAGTTAAAACTACCTCCTGCATGTACTACTACACATACTTCTACATTTCTAGATAGAAGAGATTCAACTGGACAGCGATGAATCTCCACGTAAAACTGACAAGCACGTGAAAGGTCACAAAAAAGAGGCTGCTGCAAAAGAACCAGAGCTGGATAAGAAGCATCCCGAAGCAATCGCGAAAAAGAGTGAAAAGGCGAAGAAGAAGGTCGAGTTAAAACTACCTCCTGCATGTACTACTACAATACTTCTACATTTCTAGATAGAAGAGATTCAACTGGACAGCGATGAATCTCCACGTAAAACTGACAAGCACGTGAAAGGTCACAAAAAAGAGGCTGCTGCAAAAGAACCAGAGGATAAGAAGCATCCCGAGCGCACGATTTCTCCTCAAAAGGCTCATAAAGGTTCGAATTTTCTCATAAATTTCATGTGATTTTCTTGAGAACTAACCCTGATTTTTACACTGACTTTATCTGTAGCTCCAAACCTATCCGAAACTGAGATCCAGTTTCGAGTGCTAGCTGAGGCATAGCATTTTGCTCATTGCTCCATAACTCAATTTACTGCTTCACGCTTTACTACTATCATCGGTTTTAGGTAAAGACCTGAAGGGACATGATAAAAAAGCACATGCTAAAGACCGAGCTCCCGAGGAGCTGAAGGTAGAGAAGGTCAGAGTTTACTGATATAGCCCTGAATTTGTAGTAATTTCGAATGCGCACCTCGTTCCAGGGAGAGATTTTCGTTCCTTGGGTGGACAAGTATCGACCGCGCACCGTTACACAGCTTGTTGGGCAGCATGGTGAGAAAAGTCCAATGAATAAGCTATTGGGATGGCTCAAGGATTGGGGTCGAAATAATCTAGGGGAAGGAGGAAGAACCAAAAAGCGTGAGTTGCTCATTTCAGTTCGCTCCTTTCAGTTACTTCATAGCATCAATTCAGCGAAACCTCCACCGTTTTTGGCCCAAACAGATGGAGCTCCTTTCAAGGCTGTGCTTCTTTCTGGTTCACCTGGTGAGTTTTATTTTCATCGGTTATACTTAAGTATAACATTGTTAATATCATTGAGTGTAGATTGGTCTAGATTGTCTTATGCCAGACTATAGGCGGGTTCAGCTTTACTTAAGGATCCGCCTTCGTAGATATCGTAGATTCTCGACCACCCAGTTTTTTCCTTTGATGGGATTTATCGACTGGTGTCACATTGGCAAAAGTGTGCTGATTCGAACGGTGCTTATTTCGATTGAATCCGATGAGTATTAAGAAAGTTATGATCGTTTAAAGTGAAACACTCAAAACGCTGAGAACTTTCCGGACAACCTAATTTTTCATGTGTAGTATATACCCCCCCCCCGCTCGACGACGGAAAATCTTTGGGTGAAAAATGGAAAATGTGGGAAATTGGAAGGTAGATGTTGGAAAAAAATGGAGCGGGTCGTACCGAGGCTCATTACCCATTTAGATGGGAGGGGGTCGCGCTGGTATTTTTCTCAGAGGGAGAAAAGGTCGTACGTACACTGCCATTTTACATATCACGATACTGTACCCTGGTCCGCTTAATCTTTATTTTGCCACATTATGTGCGACTTGGAAGTGTCGCCGGCGCTTCTCGTGGTAGGAGACCTCTGTGTTGGAATAGTGGATGTCTTTGCAACTTTTAGCTTTACGGGAGATTCAACGTGACTGGGGAATTCCAGCTTTTCTGCCGAAAATGGAGCTCTCCAAGATGAATACTTACTCAGGCAAGGGGAATTCCGCTACATGCCACAGAAGGAAGTGAGTCACAGGGTGGAAGAGAGGGTGTGGAGAGAGAGCTAGCCTTTCAGGAATCCATCACATAGTATTGCCTGTGAAGGGAGGCAGATGCAAAATAGAACTTGGAAGGTGTGGAAAGTCCTCACATAGTGAGGGATTGTCGGTGAGATGCTGGCGTTGTGGTTTGTTGCTTGACCAAATGTTTATTGCCAAAGCTGCGACATATGGCATGCTCTGTAGGACAGATTTTTCAATTTCATTTTTGTTTTCACTGTTCAAAAGAGTTTGTTTGTTGCGAATTTGAATTTTCTAGGCTTTCCTGGCACTAATAACCACGAATAGGAGGCATTTAAAAGAATCCTAGCGCAAAACTGGGACACCTGCAATGAATATTTGGATTGCAGTAATCAGAGGGAGGGGTAGGGGTTGGATGCGAGATTAATGAACCATTTTGGAGGACAGTATTTCTTTTCGGAAGATAGTAGTGCCTCTTTCGCACAAGCACTCCTTTAAGCGCTTCTCTATTACGGTTAAGAGCCTTTTGATGTGCCTCTGAAGTATTTTAGGTGTTGGCAAAACAACATGTGCCGTAATGGCATGCGAGGTGCTAGGCCTGAAAATAGTGGAAATGAATGCATCGGATGTACGAAGCAAGAAGAATTTGGAGCAACAGGTCTGAACACTTGAGCACTTTTCAGTTTGTTTATCGGCAACGCTCATCAATCCACTTCAGATCACTCAGCTCACTGAATCACACCAAATTGAGGAGTATTTCATAGCAGCGACATCTGAGAATGGTAAAATTTTCACTCTCTCAATGCATTCAAAAGTTTAGGGAAAACTCCACGCTTATTATGGGTGGAGACAGCTATCTGTCCTGCTTTCCTCATCGGCGCACCCATCGTCCCTATCTTCGTGGAACCAGGGCTCACCAATGAGGAAGCTGCAGTAGTTGACCGTCTTCGCCCATGCAATTAGCGTGGATTATAGCTCCTAGGATAGAGCCGCGTTTTGAATTGGGACATAATTGGTGATAAAATCATAGTGATATCGTCAGAGTAAAGTAGAACAGGGAGAATGTTGAAAGGGAATGGGTATCTGAGTTTTATTATTATTATTTTATCTTGCTGGACAGATACTGTTGAGTGGGCTCTAGAGCGTAACTATAATTTGTTTTTTCTTAGATGATGAAGAGGTGAAACACGTTTTGATAATGGACGAAGTTGACGGAATGAGCGGCACTGAGGATCGCGCAGGGGTTGGTTGTGCCATGTTTATTACCTTTTTTGGAGTTTCGTTTTCGAGTATTGTTATTCTTTCTTTAAGATTGCGGAATTGATACAAATTATCAAGGAATCAAAAATTCCAATAATTTGCATATGTAACGATCGGCAACACCCGAAGATAAGAAGTCTCGCAAATTATTGCTTCGACGTACGTTTCCAGAAGCCGCGTGTGGAACAGATCAGGGTGATTTTTGTTTCTTACATTACTGACACCTTACAAAATTTAGGAGTGATGAAAAGATTCTACTGATTTACTAGGTAATTTGAAAGAATCCCTCAGGCTGATGCTAGCTGAGTAATAACCAATTTTTAATGGTAGTTCATCGAGTGTTTCTCTAGGCGAGAATGATGTCAATTGCCTGTCAGGAGAAATTGAAAATTTCAAAGGAGGAGTTAGACCAGATGATTGAATTGTCAGGTACCTATTTTTCTCATTGCTTTCAATAGATCGTTTCTGTAAGTTCAGTGCAGTTATTCACCGAATGTCTCCATAGAAATGATGGTCGTGGTAATATTTTCCATAATGCTCCGTAAAATCGTTTCCAGTCATACATGTGGCGATCCCGTCACTTGCCACGGTTAGCTTACCCAATGGATCATGAATTTGTATTTAGGGCATGATGTTAGGCAGTCAATCTACAACTTGCAATTATATTCGTCAACTGGTGGACAGACTAAGGTGCAAAAGAAGGACGTTGCAGTTGTAAGCTCTTGAGTATGATGTAGAGAGTGTCGTGCCATGACCTTGCAGGACCGAATGGGTTTCATAATAGGGACCGTAGGAGATTTGTTGGTGCTTCTCAGATATATTTTTCGTTTAGGGACCATTTGAAGCAGCTCGGAAGCTGTTGGATACGCGTTCCACTCTTCAAGAGAAGCAGGACATGTTTTTCGTTGATTATGGTATCATGCCTTTATTTGTACAAGAAAACTATGTGAATATGCGGAATGACAAGCATACGTAAGTCGATCACTTTTTTTTGGTAAGCTTTTACGGGGGTAAATCCATGCGCCGATGTCACTCAAGCGGTGACAGCTGTCATTCACTTGGACGAAACTCTTATATTGTCCACATTAACATCTCATTTCACGACAACCGGGTATTCTACCTTTTTTTGGAATTCTGACTACTGATGTAATAGGGGACGAGGTTGAACTCTTTCTAAGAATGGCTGTAGCAGTGGATATAAGGCTTCACTTAGCGAGAAGGTTCCTACAGCACGGATGGTCCTTCTCTGAATCGACTGAGTGGACGATCCAGAGGGGCACTGTTTACCGTTATCGACTTGTCGAATCTTAACTTAGTTTTTTGTCAACATTTTTTGTTCTGAGATGGTTCAGTAGTGAGTTGATCTCCGGAGGGGAGGGGACCCTGGACGCTCTTACCACAGGGATCGCATTGGACTGGTGCGGAAATTTATGGGCTGCACACGGAGGCGGCGCAGAACAGTTTAGCGCCGACGCTTGTAACGCTAAGCATCCCTTTTTACACTATGCGGAAGCTGTGCCGTTTTTGGGTTTTTAGAAATCCTCAGTGAAATTAATAGTTTTCATTGTGTTGTGGTAAGCGCCATCCGTTTTTCGCGCAAATCCGTTGCGATATTCGTGCAAGAGGGGTCAAACAGTCTCAGTTGACAAAATACCTTGGCAAATCCACTCTTGAGGGTTGAGCTCAATAGAAACCTAGCCCAATTTTCTATTTAAAAGCGGGATAGTTAGGGGGTGGATGGGCTCTTGAAGGTTGTCATATTCGTTGTGACCGGGGAGCGTCCTGCGTCAAGCATTTTTTTCAAACTACGACGCTTTCAATCTCCGTTTATATGCCCCCCCCCTTCCCGTCCCCATAATTCCTACCATCTTCCTAAATTTTCCCGACTAACCATCACATTTTTGGGGTGGTTTTTTGCAAAAGCTCATGTCAGGAGACGCCAGCCCATTTCTCGTGTGTGTGGGTGTGTGGTGTATCGGATGCTTCTTTTTTTTCTTTTTTTCTTTCTGCAAGCAGTGTGACTGTATCTCGTCGTTCGTATCAGTTGTTTTCCACCAATTGTAGCCGCTCACCCGCTTCAACAACTGGTGGAGAAGGGGCTGGCAGCTCACCAAACACAGCATCACTAACGCACCCCATGATTCGCAACGGACAGGACGTATGCCCATATTCACTGACTCGGATGAAAATGGAAAGGAAGCGATTGTAGACTAGAAAACGGCTTGTTGTTCCAAGAAAAAACTGCAGTATGAGCCCGGGGAGCAGAGATGGGATACAGCCGCCGAGTCGAAAGCAGCGTACAACCAGACAAAAGTCAACAGTCGAGAACCTTCTACCGGGAGCGAATAACCTCCTTCCAGCGACTAAATACTCCTCCCTAGGAATCCTCAACGAATGACGTGCCGTGGTGGTATAAATGTAGCTTGTAAGGGTATCCATAACAAACAACGGGACTAAGCTTGCCTTTGCTAAGTGGTAAATTCTGGGTAGTCCATGTTCGAATTTCTTGCAATCTTGGCATGATGATATTCGATGTAGTTTGTCTTCGAGCCTCGACAAGATTGAAATACTCCTAGCTATAGCTTTATTAGGCCAACGTTTCGGCGTCATTTCAATCTTGTCGAGGCTCGAAGACAAACTACATCGGGTAAATTCTGGTTTTGAGGCCCAAACAAGCTATAGCTGGATTGAGAAAAGCAGCTGATCTCATTTCACATGGCGATACTATTGAGCGATGTATTCGTTCTTCTGGTTCCTGGAAATTGTTGAACGAACAGGTACATATATAAAGTAATTAGCTTGTTAGTTTTAGTTTTTAGTTGGGAAGATGTCTCTGAACATTCCTAAATTTCAGGCAATGATAGGCTGTGCATTGCCATCCATAGCAGTGGATGGACATCTTCGAGCGATGATTCAGTTCCCATCATGGTTGGGCAAGAACTCCACTGCTAACAAACGACAACGTCTCCTGAGGCAGCTTGCCACACATACGCATCTAAAGTGGGACGCGCCGCTATTTCCTTGTTTTTTTTTCTCTGTATACCTTCCTCAGAAGAGGTGTTGTTCCATCGATCCAGGAGCAGCCTTTGCTGTATTCATACCCATGAAGGTTAATTAGTGGTTCTTCAGGATATCAGCTGATAATTACTCACTAGTTGCTGACTATGTGCCAGTTTTGCGTGACTGTCTCACAAAACCACTCCTGGAAAGGGAAACTGACGGAGTATTGTAAGTTACTTGCCCCTACTCAGTGTGAGCTGCATATTCATCGCAGTTGTTGTATGTTGAGACGCAGTGATATGATTCTGGAAGTATTTGTAAAACATTACAGCGAGGTGGTATGCACCATGAATGATTATGATTTGATACGAGAAGATGCTGAGGCTGTGTCAGAGTTGGCAGTATGGCCAGGGAAAATTGATCCAGCCAGCAAAATTCTTCCGAAGGTGAGGTTGACATTTGGCCATACATTTGCGCAGTAGGGGCGTCACAGTAATGTGGCGGCGGGGAACAACCTTGCGACGACACTGGATAGATCTACCATTTTAAACACAATTAAATTCTTTGTTATCTATTATCTATCCCATTGGTTCCAGGTCAAAGCCGCACTGACGAGGGCCTTGAATAAAGAATATCGAACTTTGCCCTATCCAACTGATGACATTGGGAAGACACGCAGAAAGGCTCAACAGCCAGATTACGGTATTGTTTCAGTAGTTTGACATTTCGTCCTCTCTACGCTCGCAGCAAGTCCGTTTCTAGTCTGCAGCTGTAATTTA